TGGGCTAAGAGTAATCAGGAAGCAAAAACGAAAGTAAAAGTCACTCCACCTAGCCCATCTGCCCCAGAAGGACTGGAACCCCCCCCATACCTCCCGGGGGCAGAGGTGGCCTCCCCCTATGTAGAGCCACGGAGGGAGCTACGTGATCTGGACCCTTGCGGTTGCTCAGGAGGAGGGAAGAGAAATGAGATGACCTATGTGGGAGCAGCCACTGGCATGGCAGCGGCTATGCCACTTTCTCTGCTGGTGCTGCTGCTCCTGGGGCCAGGCAGAGTCCCCACACGACACTGTGCGGAAGGATCATCACGCATGGAGCCCAGTGGGGACCACAGGAGCTGGAGTGGCAGTGGCAGGGGTCGCCCCAGGCCAGCAGTTTCCTTGGCATGGGGCTGACAGCTGCCACCTGCTGGGTCGAGTGGCGGCGCGGACCCGGAGGATGATGGCAGTAAGTGCTGGGGCTGGCAGCCTGGGCGGGGGCCGCGGGTGGAGGAAGGGGAGGGCTGCAGCTCCGGGCCCCTCTCTCCACTGCCGAACAAAGTGGGGAATGCAGGGCCGGGCGAGGAGAGGCCGGGGTGGCTCGCCAAGAGGCCATGACGTGGACGCGGGCCGGCCATGGACCCTGGCCTGACAGTGCCGAGCAAGTGCGTGCCTCGCACCACTGCACTGTGCCCACCGGGTATGGGGTGCTCTGCAGCCACCTGAGGCCAGGGTCTATTCTGGCTGCCTGCAGGCTACAGCCGAGGAGTGGTGTCGGCACACACCCCATGCCTGAATACTCGCTGGACCCAGCTGGAGGCGGAGGGTGGTGCGCGCCGAGTTGCAGGGCTGTACAAGCACCAGTTTGGAGGGTGGCAAGCGGGTGCGCCCCGAGGAGCACTGGAGATGTCCTGGACGTGTCGCCTCCTGTTCAGATACCTGTTCCTGGCCCTCCTGCTGCACAGGCTGGGAGAGGGTTCTGCTCTCCCTCATCTAGACAGCAGGACCCATCCTAGGTCCTTGGACAAGAGCGCCTGGAGGGCTTTCAAGGAATCCCAGTGCCATCACATGCTGAAACATCTGCACAATGGCGTGCACATCACCGTGCAGATGTCACCCACCACTGAGGGCCACTGGGTCTCCATGGGCCAGGTGGAGTCAGACCCGAAGTCAGATCGGGTCCAGAGTTCATCACCCGGTCTTACAGATTCTACCACAACAACACTTTTCAGGCCTACCAGTTTTATTATGGCAGCAACCAATGCAACAAACCCCACCTACACCCTCATCATCCGAGGCAAGATCCACCTCCGCCAGGCCTCCTGGATCATCCGTGGTGGCATGGAAGCTGACTGCCAGCTGCACAGCGGACAGGTCATCTGCCATTCAGAGGTGGTCACTGAGCAGCTCAGCCAGCGCATGAACCACTTGTGCCCGGGCTTCCTGGCCGCAGGGACCCCCTGGGTGCAGGACGTGGCTTACGACCTGTGGTGGGAGGAGAATGGCTGAGAGTACACCAAAGCCGTGAACTTCACATGCATGAGCTGCAGCTGGTCTGGGTGGAGAAGCAGTACCTGTGCCACAACCTGGACCATCCGGTGGAGGAGCTCTTTCTTGGCCATATCCACACCGATACTGCCCAGTGAATGTTCTACTGGCCATCCAGTTACCAGCCTCTGCTGCAGAATGCTAAGAACCACGACCATGCCTGCACAGCCCATTGCATCATCTTCCTCCCCTTTCTCTTTCAGACTCCCAGGTGGTCTTTTTCTTAGCCCGCTGCCTCTTAAAAGTCAGCCCAGACCCCGTGTCCCCTTGGAGGGCTTCCCCTGTAGGAGCTGAGCTTGGGACCCCACCTTTGGAAACTGGCTGCCCCTGTCATCTCAGGGCCTCACCCTGAGTACCACACCTACCCTGCTGTTGGCCTTGTTCGCTCCTCCATGGAGCCAAATCTCCCTTCGCCACTGTGCGCCACCACCCTAGCATGGGCCACACTGGACCACTTCCACCTGCAGGCCGAGGCCCTGATCATGCCACTGATGCACACCATTACCCACCACCACGTACCAGGACGTCATCCTGGGCAGCTGAAAGACCTATGCAGTCTACCTGCTCGACACAGCCCTGCTCGACAGCTCTCTCAGCCTCCAGCTCAAGTGGAAGAGACCCCAGAGAGCAAGGCCCCACCGGTGCCCTTCCTGCACGCCCAGCACTATGTGAGTGGCTACGGGCTGCAGAAGGGGCAGCTGAGCACCCTGCTGTACAACACCCACCCATACCGCGCCTTCCCCGTGCTGCTGCTGGACACTGTGCCCTGGTACCTGCGGCTCTACGTGCACACGCTCACCATCACATCCAAGGGCAAGGAGAAGAAACCAAGTTACATCCACTACCAGCCTGCCCAGGACTGCCTGCAGCCCCACCTCCTGGAGATGCTCATTCAGCTGCCCACCAGCTCAGTCACCACGATCTCCATCCAGTTTGAGTGAGCCTTGCTCACGTGGACCGAGTACACTCCAGACCCCAACCACGGCTTCTCTGTCAGCCCACCCATCCTCAGTGCCATTGTGCCCAGTTTGGTGGCAGCCACACCAGTGGACTGGGAAGAGAGCCCCCTCTTCAGTACCCTATTCCCGGTCTTCAATGGCCCCAGCTGCTTTGTGCGACACTGTATATGGAGCCGCTGCTGGTGAGCCTGCCAATGCTCAGCCTGACAATTGGGAGCTGTAGTTCAGGTCAAGTCCATGGACTCCCCCTCACACCTGTTCTGCCCAGGACAGACTCTGACCTTAGACTATGAGTTTGACTCAACTGTGATAGAAACCCTTGTTCTCACCTGTTTGTGTGGAGTGATTGTGGGGGCTGAGATGGCGGGAATGCCAGATCCCTTTCTCCCTCAGTACTGGACGCTGATGCACATTCCCTAACCTCCATTCACCAGTCTCCTGTGCCAGAGGTCTCAGAACTAATCTTCCCAGCCATGCTACAGCTTGGACAGCTGGGCAGGGTTCCTTGCTTCTGCAGTTAAGACCCCAGTTCTGGGAGGAATCTGAGAAAGGAGGAGCCTCCAGGCTGAGATGGGGAAAATTCACTCCCTCTCCACAGAGGTCTAGTCTTGACCCTCAGATAATGCTTCCAAGAACAGGAAATACCACGCTCCAGTGACAAACTGGCCTTCCCTCACTTAGCCTAGTTGTGGTTTCTGTGAGGAGTAACTAGAGGCTTAATTAGGGGACTGGGCATCAGGCTGGACACGTGGCTCCCTTCCTGGAAGGACAGAGGGTTGGACACTCACTGAAAGATGGGGAAAGGTAAACTCAGCCGTGAGGCTGAACAACCTCCATCACGTCCTACTGCACCTCCAGACTGAAACAGGGTTGGCTGCTTCTGAAGAGCTTTGCAAGAAAACAAGGTGTTTGTTCTAACACAAATATAAAATGAGCCAAACTGTAGTCTGTGGGGAGCAATTGGGAGCAACTCGGACTAGACTAAGTTACTGGAATTAAGACTTATTCTAGAGCCGGCGCCGTGGCTCAATAGGCTAATCCTCCACCTTGCGGCGCCGGCACACCGGGTTCTAGTCCCGGTTGGGGCGCCGGATTCTGTCCCGGTTGCCCCTCTTCCAGGCCAGCTCTCTGCTGTGGCCAGGGAGTGCAGTGGAGGATGGCCCAGGTGCTTGGGCCCTGCACCCCATGGGAGACCAGGAAAAGCACCTGGATCCTGGCTCCTGCCATCGGATCAGCGCGGTGCGCCGGCTGCAGCGGCGGCCATTGGAGGGTGAACCAACGGCAAAGGAAGACCTTTCTCTCTCTGTCTCTCTCTCTGACTGTCCACTCTGCCTGTCAAAAATTAAAAAAAAAAAAAGACTTATTCTATGCATCTGCTCTCCCACAATATGGCGCTGAGAAGGGAGTAACAACTTCTACGCAGCTGCCTCTCGCCAATTTGATTGAGCTGCAGGAGCTGATCTTGCTCCTGATTGGAGGAGAGCAGCGTACTCGGCGTGTGGGTAGCAGAGTTGGGATTGGTGGAAGAGGACTATAAAGGAGGAGAGAGACAACATGCACCAGGAACATCTAAGGGGAACATCTGAAGGAACACCTGTGCAGCCCCTGAGAGAGCCGGCCGGCGGTGTGCCGCTCCCCTGCAGAAGTGGGGAAAGTGGCCAGGGGGAACCGCCCTTCCACGGAGGTGGAAGGGACGGCAGCCAACCCGGGAAGAACCAGCAGCAAACCCGGGGAGGGCCAAGCAGACAAAAGAACAGCGCAGGGTCCTGTGTCGTTCCTCCACGAAGACGGGGAGCGACATAATGGTGCTGTGACTCGGATATGAAGCCTAGGCAGGGTTCTGTGTCGTTCCTCCACGAAGAGGGGGAGCGACAGTAGTCTATGATTCCTATTGGAGTGGCAGGCATTTGGCAGGTAACACTACCTGGGATGCCACATCCCATACTGCAGCGCCCAGGGTGGGTTGGGTTCCAGCTCTCGCTTTTGATTCCAGCTACCTGCTAAGGCACACTCTGGGGGACAGTGGTGATGGGTTATGTATGTGGGTCTGCACCATGTAAGAGACCCAGATTAAGTAACTGGCTCTTGGCTTCTGCCAGACCCAGCCCTGGCTGTTACATGGAAGATTTCTGTCTCTCTCTGCCTTTAAAATACACAAGTTTCTAAGAAGCATTTCTATATATAATATTGCCTTTTAGTAGAATTTGATTATCCATAGTTGTCAATATTTTCCCAGAAAACAGAACAATGAGACTGTTTCACTGAAAATGGTCATTTGTTTACGCCCAAAAACTGACCTAGAAATCATTCATCTCTAGATCCTAGCTTTCCAATGCTTCTCAAAGGCCCCCCACCTTGCTCAAAGTGCTGAAGATAAAAATCGAGGCTCTAAGAATTCTGGAACAGCTTCCCAAAGTGCTGTATGAGAGAAAGCAGGGCAGAGTCTTGAGTTGGACCTTAAGAGAGGAAAGATTTGGGGCCGGTGCTGTGGCACAGTAGGTCAACACCCTGGCCTGAAGTGCCGGCATCCCATATGAGCGCCAGTTCAAGACCCGGCTGCTCTACTTCCCACCCAGCTCTCTGCTATGGCCTGGGAAAGCATTAAAAGATGGCCCAAGTCCTTGGGCCCCTGGTAGACCTGGAAGAAGCTCCTGGCTCTTAGCTTCAGATTGGCGCAGCTCCAGTCATTGCAGCCAATTGGGGAGTAAACCAGCAGATGGAAGACTTCTCTCTCTGTCTCTACTTCTCTCTGTAACTCTATCTTTCAAATAAATAAATAAATAAATCCTTAAAAAAAGAGCAAAGATTTAGAGGCAGAATGAAGACACAAGGATACCGAGGCCAGGAGAAATGGGGGTGGACCTCAAGGCAGCAAGGTCAGGAGAATCAATCATCACTTGGACCCAGGCAAGGACATCCAGGCCCCCTTCTGAGTGGAAATGAGCAGGATGGATCCTTTGTGCCTGGGCACGAGAACTGTCTGGACATCTTCCTAATATCCTGGAAGGAGCTTTCTCCTCTCTCCACATATTCTCCAGCTGGCTGTGGAATGATGACAATTACACTAACAGAGCTTGATGAGGGAGACGAGGGACAAACAGCAGTAGTCAGGTGCCTACTTCTCTTCCTCACACTGGCAGGATGTGAATCAGCACTGAGACAGATTTTGGTTGAGGGCAGACCTAGGAAAGTTCCCCAGCTGACCCCTGGAGCCAAAAAGGGGCCAGTATTCATTTATCACCTGCTTCTGGAGGTCACCTGACAACTTGTCCTTTTGCATAGTACTGGCCAAGGGTCTTCTGGCCAGAGACATGTTTAAATTGAAGTGAGTGTCATAGCACAGGGCCACTGCAGTTGCAGAACACAAGGTGGGGGGGTGGTGTTTGGGCTCCCTCCAGGTATCCTTGCTAACCTCCTCATATGAACCAAGGACCTTCATTTTGTGTTTTTTCCAAAGGGTCTTGAAATACCTGGGCCCAAAGTCTTGCACTGATAGACACAGGAATCCTGACCACAGCTGGTCACTGTCAGGGCAGACACTGTGTCCTCTTCATTTCTTCTCATACACAAGCTCAGCCTCGGGCAGCTGCTCACAAAATACTCACTCTCAGCCTTGCACAGAGTCTGTTAGCTGAAATCCTACTATTCAAAGTGTCCGCCATAGTCGGAATTGTGAACTTTTCACATAGGAGGCTGGAGCCTTCACCATCCAGTGGACAAGGTATGAAGTTTAGTGGTGGGGCCTTCAGCCCCTCTTCTCACCTGAAGGCTTGAAGCTGTGATCAATGGCTTGCTGAAGGCCTCCTAGTCCACAGAGCCCATGGAGGGAGGAATGGACAAGACACACTCTCAGGTAACCTATGGCATGTATCTTTGTCTCTAGACATTGGCTCATGGAAAGCATTTATGATCCCAGGAGTGAGGATGAAGAATCTCCAGGTAAGGAACAATAGTGCAGATAGGACCCAATGGTGGAAGCTTCTTGGGAACAGCTGGGTTGTACCTGCTGCTTTGGAGTTTGGAAGGGGCATATAAACTCAGGGGAAAAAATAGGAAACATGTAGAATCCTGATTTGTTCTCTTTCTATTTTAATGACATAGTAAGAGGTTCTGGGTCCAGAGACTTTGAGTGTGTTATGCTTGTAACTATCTTTTCTTGGTCTGATATTTGAAAATTTACCTTTTCTGTAAGACAGGATCTAGCCAGCTGTTGTCATCAAACTGAGTCTTGACAGGCTGGCATTCCTTAGGTATGAGCTGAGAGATTTTCATTTAGGTTTGACACTGACTATTGTCTTAGTCTATTTCTGCTGCTAAAACAAAGTAACTAAGACTCAGTAATTCTGAAGGAACAAAAACATATTTCTCGCAGTTCTGGATGCTGAGTGAGTCTAAGACCAACGTGTCCAACATTTGGGCTGGGCCCGAGGGCCTGCTTACTGTACCTTCACATGGCAGAGGGCAGGGGACCTGGCAGGGTGCATGCTCTCTCACAGGTAGCACTGGAACCCACACAGTTCTTGTAGTGTGTCACCGTGGGCAGTAGTAAGGAATGGACCTTCTCCCTATTGAGGAGAGGACCTAGAGGACTTGGAGCAGCACCCTCCTATTCTGCCCTCACTGTTGAATCCTGGTTTACAAGGCACTCTCAGGGTTGGGAGTACTGGGATTACTATGGGTGCACTAGTGCTTATTTTATTATTTTTTTAAGGAATAGGAGGAGGTGATTTTTTCCCCAAAGGAACTTTCTATTTAGTGAGTACAAATTTCATAAATACAACTTTAGGAATATAGTGATTCTTCCCAACCCACTTCCTTTTCCCTCTCCCATTCTCCATTAAGATTCACTTTCAATTAATTTTATACACAGAAGATCAACTCTATACTAAGCAGATTTCAACAATTTGTACACACACACACAAACTGAAAACAAATTTTACAGTTAATTCTCAACTCATTGAGGACAGAGGTTCTGCATGGGG